AAACAGATTTTTACGTGGAGAAACACTTAGCTAGAAGCTAGTTTACAGGTTTTCCGGCAAACAACTGAAACAAATTGTTCAAATTGAAAATAACATTATTAAGAATCCCAACTGGCCGAAGGCAAACCAGTTGGCTATATTACAAGCATGGCCGAGGATTTGAAACTCGGGTCTACCGTGAAACAAATCCAGGTAGTGGCCAGGGGGGGACTTGAATGCGGGAGCGGCGGATCGCAAGTCCGACACGCTGACCACTCTACCACGCTGCCTTCTAATTCACACAAACTTTGATAAAACGCCACAGAATACTGAACAACGGTAGGCTTGACAATTATAGGAACATCCGGTTGGCTAATTCTCAATCTTCCTAACTGTAATAAAGCATACATTGGTTCAGTCTCTTGAGACCTCTAAATATCAAAGTATACTGTCGCAGATCTGTGGAATACAAACTTAAAACACCACAGAACACTAAACACCCTAAGGATTGATAGTTACAGAGACATCCAGTTGACTAATGCTCAACCTTCATAACAGTAACAAAGTGCACACTTGGTTCAGTTCTGATAAATCTTCCTAAAACAAGCTAATAGTGCATATATTTTGAAATAAAAACTTAACGATGACTCTCTCCAACCCCTTAAAATATCTTCGGTCAGGCAATTCTCTATCCCACAGTCCTCTTTGACATTCGTCTCATGGTTGGTGAACTCGTCACTACAAAGCCTTCCATAACCTTTCGGATCGAGAATGCGGCTTTACCAGTACCTCACGCACACGACAAAAACACGTCAGGCCTCTCTCATTCGTGCAGCCACATCTCAGTTTGCAACGGTTCTGTGCATGCGTCAAGTATTAGTCAAGCGACAACCTCGACCTCAGAGCACCTATGTACTGTTCATGACTGATGACGAGAAGAACCTCTCCAAGCCGTCGGTCATGCGCAGCATGAGATGTCCCAGTATTTACTGCATATATGATGGTTACTATTTTCAATTTGTATTATGTATTACATTAGATTCATCTAAAGGGGAATGCCACAATAAAGGCAACGTTTAAATCTACATCAACAGTGATGACAAAACGAAATTAACGCCGTCGTTAATTGTTAGTGCAAAACAACGGTGATATCTCTCAGAGTTCAAATGATCAGGCAGCCTCGTTCCCAGGGTCTCTCTTTTCCTCCCTATCTCGAGGGAGGAAGAGATGAAAAGGATCCTGGGAACGTCGGGACTGTTGGTCAGGTTTCTTTAATCGACATATATTGATCCATTTCCTTGTTTCTACTCTCAACTGATACTAATCTGCATCAGGATAAAATGTAGTCGTAAAATTTGGGAGCTACTTTGCGGATCTTAGAAAGTTAGCCTAATTTAATCAATATCGGTATTTGCAAACCAAGACTAAGCACCTCTCTCCCTCCTGTTAATAAATAAATAAATACATAAGTAAGTTTAAGCTCTCCCTTAGCGGCTTTTCAGCCCCAATGTAGATTAACTAAGTGATTAAAAATCCCCACTGACACTGAGAAGGCGGACCAGTGGGCTATTTATAGAGCGCAGCCGAGGAGTTGAACTACAGGTAACCGAGAACAAATCCAGTGAGTGACAGGGTGAAGGACTTGATCCCACGACACCGATTACAACTTCAGCACCCTAACCACTCGGCCACACCGCCTCCTGTTCTACACCATGTTTGTTTTCCTAACCAACGGCTATCGGTGAAGACTTTGGCCATTTTGCTCCGAACGATTAATTTGGCACTTAAGAAAATGACAGATCGCAGTCAGGAAATATTTTTAAGGTTATGAA